TTTTCTCCCATGTTTCATGGTTTTCAATTTCCATGTTTTCAAAATGTTGTGTTTGTAAAAAAACAAAAATAACAAAACACATTGCTTCAACTAAAACATAACTACAAATTTCATAAATAATACAGTTTAACAGTTGAAAAATAAACAAAATATAATATGATCAGGTGGTATGTTTCTTAGAATAATTAAACAAGCAAATGCTGTGAAAGTAATATTTTCCATCTAAGTGCGAAATAAATTTTATTATTTACAAGCCTGGCATGTTCTATGGATTCAGCAAGAGTTGGCTGTTAGAGTCGTGGTTTAATTTTAACGGAGGTGCGCGGGGTCATGTTTGCCTGTGTGTGTGCTGGTGCAGGTGCGCTTGTGTATGTGTTTGCGTGTTGACATCTCCACAGAGGTGAGGGGCAGGGTTTATCAATCATAAACATAAGCTCATGGATCCCGTTACGCTGTGCAGATATGTGTGTTTACTCAGCAGTGTGAAGAGCAAAGAGGCCCAGGAGGAAGAGACGGACACATGCATGCAGGATATCAGTCTGTGTGGACAGGGCGGCTGACATATGCCTTTATGTAATGTAATAACGGTAACTACATTATCTTTAAGTGTTTTTTTGTTGCAACAAGTGGAGTAAGGAAAGCCAGCAGCCTCAGTTGGAGGCAAAATCTTTCTCAAGCTTTTGTGTGAGAAAATGATCGGAATTCCTGCTACTTAACATGCCTAATGGGCAGAATAAGAGCCTCACAAAGAGGAAGGCTGTGTCATTCCTCTCCCTTGTTGTATTCCCATTCCAGCCTCTCTTTTTCAAGAGTCTTCACAACATTCAGAAACGCATTCAGAAGGTAGCAGTTTCTGCTTGCAGGAGTTCTGTACCCGTGTGGCCTCTCCATAGTTTGGCTTGGCTGAAATCTTATCTTCCGCTGGCCAGACGCCCCCTGATTTTATTAATGCCCTCATCAGGAAGTGGAGCCCAGAGCTTCTCTTTACTAACAAACAAATTAGCCTTTGTATTGGAGTGGCTCCACCCCTCCTCCTTCGCTCCCCGGCTGCTGGAGAAGCTGGAAGAAAATTCTCAATGAAACAAAGAAGACATGCAGCTCGATGGCTCACATGTGGAGCCCAGGGGCATTGGTTTTGATTGGATAAGGCAAATACTATTTTCTTCGGGAGTAATTGTTTCCGTTCTAAATTTGGGCAAGTGAAACATCCCACCGGGGGCTAATGTAACCCATTCATCCCCTTCAAAAACAATGTGACTTCTATTTTTAAGCAAAAAGGCTGAAGCAAAGCACATAAAACAGTGATTTTGATGTGTAGATTGAATGCATGTATTTACACAGAAAACATAATTCATGAGAGACTTCCATTATCATTGTTGTGCAAAAAAAAATAAAATAAAAAAATCATTCCATGGGTACAACATTTGTGTTGAACTAAAGCAGCTCAGTTATCTGCTTTTCTCCACAGTATGACAAGGATCAGAGAAATACTTTGAAGACTTTTATTGGACAGGGACTACAGCAGTGTAACTATGGCTGCCTCCTAAGCTTCTGTAAGAACATAACAGGTTTAACCAAAGAGCTCATATGTCAAGGCATTTCCTGTACCAATCACTAAACCTCCTTTCAGACCACAATTAACAATGTTCTCTCTACTATTCACACCTCCACTTAACAGATAAACTACTTATAATGTTTTGTTTGCTGTGAAATAAAGGATAGGTAAATGCGATAGTAATTTAAATGTCCAACATTTAAGCTTAACAGACTAAAGTTGTTGGAATAACTATAAAGAGTTATAAGGAAAAGGTTTTTGCATTAAGTGAATAAATATTGTGTGGGAACTTTGAAAATAGAAGATTTAAGATATAGATTATTTAAAGTGAGAAATTAAGATGGAATAATATAAAACATTTAACATTGATAATTATAATGATAATAAAAAATACTTTGATAAAATGATAAATGTCAAAAAAAGTCAACAGGAAATGTTTAACATCTGGATGTTTATTCTGATTGCGATAGCGACATAATGTAAAATACGACCTAAAATCTGTGCTGGTTTTGTTCCTAGTTATTACAAAGAGTGGTAAAGCGTCATTTATTGGAACAGTACATATGCGAAAGAGTAATGTTACAGAGGCCAGATTTAATTTATAATTTTTCGCTTATAATTTATGGTCTTGTGTTTTTTTTTTCTTCTTTTTTTATATACCACTTTACTTTCTGTGCAATTTCCTTCATTCAAGCACTTTGAAAACACGTGAACAACAAAAACAATTTATAACAGGCAAAAAAAGTAAATTTATGAGTAGAACAGGCATGGGTTGCTTGCTCTAAATGAGATGTAAAACAATTTTAAAAGAATTCAAAGCTCGTGAAAATTTCAGCTAGAATTTTCCCTCTTCTACCTGGTGCTGAGCACTGCAGTCCAGCTGGCTGAAAGAAGGTTGCCACACTTTCCCTTACTTATATGTGACATAACAAGGCTGCTTAGAAAAAAAATCTGGTGACACAAAACATGGACAGTCATTGTGTGGACACTAAATAAGCCCCAGGCCTCCCTCTTATAAAAACTACAGCTGGGAAGCTTAAAATGTCTTGTTAAGCAGCTGACTGCAGCCTGGCCACCAGAGTATCTAGGCCGACTGATTAACCAGCTAATATCAGTTTGTTGCATATGTGTCACTCTATAGAGTGGCATGGCAAAAAGTTGTAATAAGAAGTTTTTTCAGTTTCCACTCTTGTAGCAAGCTGAATGTATTTTGTAAAACATTTAGTTAAAGATTTTTCTTGTTCTTTTACTCAAACCCATTACTCCTTTACAATCTGATAACTACAGCAGATGCATTTTAGATGAGTATATGCTCATTAATAATGGGCAAGATAGCAATACGTGACCTTTCCTAAGTTAACATTCTGATCAGAAAGGAAAATGTGGGTAATTCAGAGTGGCTCTGGATTAACCCACTTCATGTTTTTTCATCTAAAGAAATAATAATAATTGGAACCTATATGTAGTTTTCCATCTGCTTTGCAATTATCCAAAGTAATATTTTAGGAGACACTGATTTAATTACAGTCAGTCGTTCATGGGCCTCCCTTGAAACCACAATTCAAGATTACTAAAACAGTGATGGCTCTTTGTGATGGAACAGATAAAAAAGGAGGCAACCACAAAAGAAGCCTGAATAAGTCATGAGAAGCCATTTACAAGAACTTCAAATAAATTACAACAAAACTTTACTGGAAATGTTTCATCTGAGTAGCTAAGCAAGGTAATAATATTGACATTAAGACACTTTACAAACCGTCTCTCTTCTATGTCTCATATTTACATCAGGAAAACAATGCACCTATTTCCTAAGCAAATTTAAGGAAATTATGGGAAACTCCAAACAGTCCTAGAAAGGCCATCGCTTTCTCAGATGGAAAAGGATACTTTGAAATGGACTTTGATCAATAGACAGCTGTAGTTTTACAAGTAAATATGTTGTAAACCTGGATATCACATCCTCCACACTCAACAAAGGAAAGGAAAAGCACTCTGCAGTAACAGTGGGGTTGCTTTGAAGCACATTTGTGAATAAACCAGTCAGGCTGATCCATGATGAATTTAAATGTAAGGTTAGAATGATTTGTAGATCATCTGTTTTTGTTTATATTAATGTAGTCGCAGCATTTTTGGAAATAACATTAAAAGAAAAGTCTCTTCATATGGCGAACACGTGTGGATCACTGGCTATGCCTGGGAAACTGGATGATGTCACTACATTAAATCTATATCTCAAAAGTTTATATTGTTGTTGTTGTTATTATGGAACTTCTGGCATGAAGTTTGTCACTGCTTCTCTGTCAAAACTTGTTCACGCATCGCTGCGTGCTTGGAAGGTAGCATCAGAAGTGATCATGTCATAGCCTGGCATCCCTGAGTACAACCAAAGCTAGAATTTGGCTGGCAGATCGAGACAAGTTTAAGGTTTATGGGTAAGGATTATGTTTATTTAAGTGTGAAAGTTCAGATTTGCATTTGATGTAGCGGCACATAGTTACATTTACCAATTACATGTTTACTGGCAGAGCTGATTGTCATCAAAAATAAAAGGTCAATGTGAATGTTGTCAGTGGGCGCTCCCAGCACTGTGGTTTCAAGTGTTGTTTTCCGAGCTCAGAGAATTGGCTCATGTACACATTGAGGTTATCTGAGGTGAAAGACAAAGCATTTTACTGTAAAACACAGGTGCTGTGTTTGAGGTTATACAAAAAAGAAGTTTTGAACCTGTTAACTTGTGCATCTCAGTGGGAAAATAAGTGAGAGTTTCTGTGCTCTGCTAATAGTTTCTTATTACTGAGAACAAACTAACCTTTTTTTACAGAGTGTTGAAAGAGGATGTCCTAGTGCAGCACACAGGCTTCCAGAAAGCGAGAAAACATTCTGTCAGGCTCACTGTCTTGATATAAGGATTATATGCTTCAAGAAGATTGATGAAATTATTATTTTTGGTCAATGAATACATGCTTATTTAAAATCTGGCCAAGTAGCTTTACTACCTTTTTTCAGTGTTTCTGCAAAGGCTGTGAAAATGCAGAATTTTTTTTAAGAATGTTCCAGATCTGGAATGAATGGAAAGACAGATAATTTATACAAATAAAATCATACTACATGGCCTATCCTGTTCCACAGTCATACCTCTTATCTTCCCTCTGTCCATCAATCTGTTGGCTCAGTGTTCATTATCCACTCATCCTTTCATTAGTTCACCATGCAAATATCTATTCATTATCTGTCCTTTCAACCATCTATCCATCCACAATTCAATAAATTGCCTTTAAATAGTTGTTAACTTTGGAGATTTTAATTGTTGAAATAAAATCATGAATAAGGACCCTATTTTCTTTTCTTTTTTTTTGCTACACATGTAGAATGCTTGCAGTTTACCAATAATACTGTTATCAATTCAGAAATGCATTTATCTATTTGTTTTTTTTTTCCCTTTCAGTCTGTAGCCCGAGTATTGACATCCGGAATTACATAAGTGAATTCCAGGCTCTTGAGAACTGCACAGTGTTGGAAGGTTTCCTACAAATCGTTTTAATCAATGAAAAGACAAGCAACATCAACCAAGAGGTCTTCCGCACCCTCAGCTTCCCGAAGCTGACCGTCATCACCGACTATCTGCTGCTGTTCCGCGTTCCTGGCCTGGATAGCCTCAGCACGCTCTTCCCCAACTTGAGCGTCATTCGGGGCCGTAATCTCTTATATGGAAATGCTTTGGTGATCTATGAGATGACCAACCTAAAGGACATTGGCCTTTACAACTTGATGAACATCACCCGTGGGACAGTGCAGATTGAAAAGAACCCAGAGCTCTGTTTCCTGGACACGGTGGACTGGTCTCTGATCATGGACAGCAATGTTAATAATGTTATAACTGGGAACAAGAAGTCGAAGGAGTGTGATGATGTCTGCCCAGGCACAATGGAGGACAGCCCTACATGTCAGAGGACATTGGTCAAAGGCAACAATGACTACCGCTGCTGGACATCGAAGCATTGTCAGAAAGGTAAACCAATTTCTGCTTTTTTAATTAAAGAATGACTTTGATCTTTGAAGTTTACTGCCTTTCAGACATTTTACAATTGCATGGAACTTCAACACTTAATCCAATGAATCAATGTAGAGATTTTCCTTTGTTTTGGTCAGACAGTACAAACATTTTCCTCTTTGTTCGTTGCACAGACCTTTTCTTTAGATCAGGCTATTTATGAAGGAAAGGATGGCGGCAATACACAGCACCAGGTATGAAGGAGACATACTTGGTTGAGGTTAAAGGAGCTCTGCCAAGAAATGAGGTAGTCTAGCAGTCTGGAGCATGTCAGCTAAATATTTGCCAGAGGGACATTTAGAAATTTTTGAAAAAAGGGGTTCATTGAAGGATCTGGGGGAGGGTTGTCCTTGTTGAACTTTAGCCCAGTGGTGGGGTTGGCCACTTTTCATTAAAGTAGTTCAGAAGGAGGTCATATAACAGCAAATAAGGCAAATAGAGATAACATTGATGGACAGTTATGCACACTGATGGCACCCGAACAAGGACAACATATGCTTTAAGTTGAACAAAACTTGCTGAAAGTACATTGAAACTCCTTGTTGCCCAAGGTGATAAATGTGACCACAGGTCTCTGACACTACGTTAGGTTTGACATTGAGTACCACATGTGGAGTCAAAACAGACATGTAGTGCCAAAACTTAAAGATACAGAGATATTCTGTTCTAAAAATATTTATGTAAAAGTATACTCTGCTTTCATTATTTCTCCAAGCTACATAACATGCTTCAATCCATATTAGATTTTGTTTTGCTACACCACCATAATTCAATAAATTTTATTTGAGTCTTATTCGATAGTCTAGTAGTTGCCACTCAGAAGTAAAAGAAAAAATTATTTACAAGTAAACATTTGAAAAAGGATAATACTCAAATGTGTTTCACCCTTTTTACTCTTAATACCCTAAAATAAAGTCAAGTGTAAACAATTACATGTTTTAGTCATCTGCACAGATCCACAACAGTTCAAAGGACAGCTAGTACTCATTCATAGATGAATGGCAAGATTGTTGACTTAAACCCAATACATTGAGGTTTGTAGTTGTTACTTGACAAAAGACGCAGAAGTGTTTGTAAGAAACTATTCGTTAAATAATAGTGGGAATACGTTGCCTCAGATACCAAAGGCCTGAATCATATTTTTCTTTTTTTACTGCCCTTAAGACCTGTGTGCAGCTCCAAGGGTCAGTTTAGATTCACAAACAAACTTGGGGTCTCTGTGGGAACCTGCAGAACAAATAGTGGAAATAAAACCTGCGTCTTTCCCCTTGTGACCACATCTTTCTCTGCAGCGTTTATTGTTTGTCTGTGTTTATTCTTGGACGGGTTTATCTATCGGGAGTTTCCCGCAATGTTATCAGCTGCTCAATTCGTGCACAACTGACCCTGTAAAATAAAAGTGTTTAAATCCCTTTGTGAAAGGAAAAAAAAGTTTCATAAAGACTCTCACATTGTGAATGGCATAGTCACACAATTTCATTCTTTGAAAAGTTGATTATTTTGTGGTGTTTTGCAGAGTTTTTCCTCACACAACAGACCTGAGAGCAGGAGTATTGTTTAGAACAGTTTGCCTCTCTCAAAGGACCTGGCTGAGTTCAGGGTAAACACATTCATCTGGAGAGCCCTGAGGTATCAAGACCGCAGATAAAGGTTTTCAGGAAGCTACACTTTGGATACGAAAAAAACAACAAAAAAAAAAGGTTGGGTGGCATAGAGGCAGTGTGAAGCATTTTTTATGCAATAAGGCAGCAGAATGAAGCTAAAATCAAACTGGGTTGTGCTTTAATATGTTAGAATTTGTGTTGGGATTTTTTTTTTTTTTTTTTAGGTATGGTGTGTTTTCTTGGAACTTTCCCTCTGTAGAGCGCTCTTCTCCCCTCTCTACCCCTTTGTATAATTGCCTTGTTTTTCTCCGGTACAGATGTTCCTTCAAGGGCATGCAGTGGTTTTCTAGTCAATACAGCCTGGTCTTCTCTTTAATTACACTACATGAGGAGGAGCGCTGTCTGCTAGCTAACTACAGTAGCCTCTGGGGCTTCAAGTTCTCTTCAGAGCTGAAAAAAAAAAAAGTTGTTTTTTTTCTTTCATTTTCTTCTGGTCTTTAGACATTATTGGTTTGTGTTAGATTAGAAAATGTTAATGGTAATGTGGAGCTGAGGGGAATATTCCAGGTTAATGTTAGAAGAAGGTGAGTGGGAGTCAACTAGTTGCTAAATGGGGACTGGAGAAATGGGCAAGCAGTGATGCGGAGAGAGGCCCCTTCTGAGAGGTTCTACACAGGAGGAAGGGCATAAAGGCAAAAATGTCAGACAAATGTCAAGTATACAGACTCAACTGCAGTCTATGAGTGAAAGGCAGTTTTGATAGCTGTTGAGAACAATCTTTCCCTGCTTGTGTTTTCCTCGTTTTTGAAACATCCATTCCTTTAGCTTCAATGCCGTTTCTTTTCCCCACTGTGTCTGTTCATTTTCTTCCTCTCCACTTCACTTAGTCTCATCTCTGATTGTCCTTGTCAGAGGTTCTGCTGGTGTTTCCTGCTCTATTTTCACCTCACTCTTTTCCGCAGGGCTTATCAGAGGCTAACAACCCCGGCTGTCAGATATTTTCACTGTGAACTTGTCAGAGATGTTCTCTCTCTCGCTCTTGTTTGACTGGCCCCTGAATCTTTTAGTGTTTTTCAAAGGACTTAAAAGGAGTATGGCCTGTGTCTGTGTTTTGCCCTCTGCAAAAAATAAAATAAAATAAATAAAAAAGACTTGTGACAGCTAGTCAGATAGGCAGATTGTGTCTTATTATATGCCTGCCCTGCTTCAGGTCTGGTTGGTCTTCATAGCTCCACAGGGAGGCACACATTCTCTGATTCACAAGTTCTCACAGAGCTCACATTTCTTCTTCATGGAATCAAATATTAACTTTTGGTATGCTGGAGGGCACATTCAGTTAAGGCTATCTCATGCAAAAGAATACCAGTTATGTAAAGTTTTTCTTTTCAGTAAGCAGCATGTTTGCATATTAACATACTTTAAGACAATGGAAGCAGAAAACATGCCTGACTCATGACTTGTTCTTGTCTTTTCTGTTCTCCTGATTTCACTACAGCCACATTCAATAAATTAAAACGGGTTCCGATGAGATTTATTTGTCAGATTAAAAGTGGCTTTTTAAAATTACAACCTTTATGGCGGTATCACACATAGTTTTCATGAGACATTCAGAATGCTTATTATTAATTGGTCTGATGTTATATTCTAATCTTAAATGTCATGTTTTAAACAGCTGCAAGTAAGAAATTATCAGCCTTAAAAAAGATTTAAAACATCAGTCTATGTGCAATTAGTTGATATAATGTGTTTTACTTGTGAGCTGTGTTACTAAAATACATAAACTTCTGATTTTTATTTGAATTTATTGAATATGACTGAATATCAGGAGGAGGAAGATACAATTTATTGACCTTGGCTTAATAAGTAGGTTTATTGGAATGAAGCAACTTTCTATCGAATTTTTCATACCGTTGGTTTATTTGTGAACGCGCTGAAGAAATACGTATAGAAGATTCTTAAACTATACATCACCAAAGTGTAACATATTTATTTATGCCAATCAAAATACTACTTGTTATAAGATAACTTATTTTCCTAGACAATGTTATATATATATATATTGGAATATATATATTTATATATTCAACAAGTACACTATTCTGTCTTCGCAGTCGATTGCAAAGTAGACTGATGCATCTCTAGTTATGCAAATTTGTTGTTAAGAAAAAGATAGGTCTTTCACCCCAATTGGAAAGACCTATCTTAGCTGTTTTACATCTTTTGCTGTCCAATGTGTGCAAGAAATGGCTGCAGCTGTAGACCAAAAATTTGTCTCCTTTTTCTTTCAGTTACTTTGCAGTCTTTGAACAAAAATAGAAAATGAAAACCCTTGCATCTAACTTAGCTTCCTTCCCATTGCTAAATTAAAGATGCAGTATGTTAAGACAATGGAAAGAAAGTGGAAAGAAAGTCTCATGATAACATTTGGACACCATTGGGTTGTATATTTATTAATGCAATCTGTTGTATTGCTATAGATAGCAGATCATATGGCAAATAAGTGCCCAGCAGAATTCTTTGGCTGCATCGTGCAAAGGAACTTGTGAGATGTGCCGTGTTGAAAGTGATACCTTAATGCTATGAGGTTCAAAGCCCAAAGTTTGCTGTTTCAAGTTGGAATTCAGAAACCGAAAAAGAACAAAACAAAACAAAACAAAAAAAAACCCAATCAGTATCACAGAAAGATTTCAATGTTTCTTTATGTCCTTATTTAAAGATGCATTTTGAGTTTCAAATGTGGCCCACTCTGCTATTTTTTATTAACACTTTATTAATTAAAAATATTCAGGAAAAAAAAAAACATATTTAAGAAAATATCCCAAATTCCAAATTCTATTCTTGAAAATCGAAAATCTACTGTTAACTTTTATCTCACAAAGAATAAGCTGGATTTCAGTGCTGCTAATTTTTACTTGCTGAAAGCCAGAATGATGTTTACTAATAGAAAATGTATGTTGGATAAAATGTCTCTGCCCCTTTAAGGATATAAGGCAGAAATTCCTCTTGGCTTACTCATTGCACGTGTGAGGGGATAAAGAGGGGGAAATGCACCACACAGGCGGTATGTGAAGACTGTCTGTGCTTGGTCATACAGAAACTGCTTGTGTTCTATTTGCAATTATGAGTAAAAGAGATTGATCTGTGGTCCATTCTTTGTTTTTCTGGACTTGTTGTTCCTTTAAAAGTACCTGGGTGGGCTCAGTTCACAGATAACAGAAGGCTTTAAAATAGTTAGTGGAATCTCTGGACCTTATCAGAGTCCTGCGGTTTCAGGGACAGGAAATTCAAAGGAGCTCAAATTTCAGACTTGTAGTATGGTGCTTTCTTCGGGGCACATCTTGTGCCATGACTCAG